GAATCAATAAGAAAGATAATTGCATCAGCAGTTTGAATATATTTTTTTCCATAAACAACCACGTATAACAAAAAAGAAATAAAATATTTATTTGTTATATTATATTGATCATCACCATCATCTAAATCAATAATTGTAAATTTCATTTTGCCCATGATTAATTCTTTAAAATCGATGAATAAAAAATTTTTATAATTAAACAAAAACGAAAAGTTTTTTGATACCACAAGATAAATTTGACGTATATTCATCGAATTTATTTTCTTTTAATGTATTTATCAACGTTTTCTAAAAAGAAATGGAAGATTTATTTAAAAAAAAACAAATTTTGTTTTCATATTTTACTTTGCCTGAATTTTTAAAACCGAGAATAAGAATTGTACCATATTTATTATGCAGACCTATTTAAAATAATTTTTTTATTGACTACCTATTAAATAAAATTTCTTTATATAAACTTACGACAATCTTTTCCAAGTATTGCATCATGATCATCTGCTACTTTTTCAGCTTTTAATCCAGTTACACGAATTTGGATCTTTTGATTTACTTGACGTTGTTTTAAACGATTGATTTCACTAGTTGTTGTTTCAGTTTGTGGTCCTTCTTCAAGTTCTTGAACAGCTTTTGATGTTTCATCATATTCACTTTCATATTTTTTTTGAAGTTTCTCAAGCTTGGCAACCTAAAAAGAAAGATAAAAATCTTCGTAAAAAAACATTTGAACCTACGTTATTCCCAGTCTTCCGTATTGTATCAGTAAATTTTTCATGAGACATAATTGACCAAACAAGATGATAAATTATCTAAAATGAAAGAAAATTTTAATTAAGAAACTCGAATACTTAGAGTTCAGGTAGAGACAGTAGAAAAGAAAGAATTTGACATCAGCTGATTTAATTGATGATCTATATGATAGTAAATGAGATGCTATATTTCTAGTAGGAATGTTAAGAGAAAGGATTGAGAGACGTGACCGGATTCCATGAATTCAGAACTCCTGGGGAACTCTGGGAACTCTTGGGAACTGCTGGAAATGTTGGAACCCTGGGAACTCTTGGAACTCTGGGAACTCTAGGAACTCTTGGGAACTGTTGGAACCCTGGGAACTCTTGGAACTCTGGGAACTCTTGGAACTCTGGGAACTCTTGGAACCCT